TATAGTGTATGTCTATATAAACCTGGGTGCCCTCAACAACAGTGCATAGTGTATGTCTATATAAACCTGGGTGCCCTCAACAACAGTGCATAGTGTATGTCTATATAAACCTGGGTGCCCTCAACAACAGTGCATAGTGTATGTCCATATAAACCTGGGTGCCCTCAACAACAGTGTATAGTGTATGTCTATATAAACCTGGATGCCCTCAACAACAGTGCATAGTGTATGTCTATATAAACCTTTCGTATACTGTAATTTTTTCGATTGTTTAACAATGTATACTTCGTAAATATAGATATGCTGAATTTGAGTGTATTGTCGTGTTAATAATCAGACTGTTGAACTTTTTAACTTTCACATGATTTAACTTTGGGGAGGAGCATAAGAGAGACGGCAGTGTTCCTTTAAAAAGAGTTGATCTTCACAATTCGGAGTTGTTTGGTTTTTATTCTAAACACGCTTATTGTTTATCATCTCCGTGTTAGTTCAGAAAGGAGGAGATTCTGTTTATCGTCATGTAAAAACGTTTTTAACCTTCAGAAACATGATTTGTGTATTCAGCATGAAATTGTCGTTCCTTCCAGTTTGATTAACATAAACGTATTAATTTGTCACCAACAGTTACCTATCAAACACCACTGGCTACAAAATACAAATGGCGAAGCTTCAATCCCATCATGAGGGAGAAGAAGAAGAAGATCCAGAATCGTAAGTTGATATTTGTTTCTAAACGTTAAAGTGTAACTAAGGAATAACATTTATGATTTTTGTTGTATCTGTGTAGAGAGAAACGTTAAAGTGTAACTAAGGAATAACATTTGTGATTTTTGTTGTATCTATATAGAGAGAAACGTTAAAGTGTAACTAAGGAATAACATTTGTGATTTTTGTTGTATCTATATAGAGAGAAACGTTAATATTTAACTAAGGAATAACATTTGTGATTTTTGTTGTATCTGTGTAGAGAGAAACGTTAAAGTGTAACTAAGGAATAACATTTGTGATTTTTTGTTGTATCTATACAGAGAGACTTTTTTCACGGAAACCTTACGACTCTGAAATACTGGTTTCGATACCGTAGTGGGCAGAACAGGGATAGCCCATTGCGTAGCTTGGTGCTTAACACCAACCAAACTGTTGTCACGTGTTAGAAGACCAGTTTAAAACTAACCTACAATTAAGTTAACAAAACTCTGATAGACGAGCAGGAACTACTATAACCCTGGTAGTTTAAGTTGATATTAACAATGATTGGATTGTACTTTATGTCAGGGAATTTCAAAATAGTAATTACTGTTACGGCTGATCTGGGATGAACCGCAAAGTTTTAAAAAGTAGAATTGAATTTTATTTTGAAGTTTCGAGTATCTAAGATGTTAATTAATCTGTTGTTTTTTGTTTGTTTTTTCATTCCTCAGAACGGATCTTTTTCTTTACGGAATTGAAAGAGAAACGAACAAAATAGTAAACACGGAGTCACTGTTAAAGTAAGTCATCGTATTTGTTGAAAAACATCAAATGAGGAATTAGAATAAAAAATATGGAATTCAGTGTTTTATTATGATGATTTAAATTGTTTGAAACAAAATTATAACAAGCAACAGTTACTTTAAACTATTGTTAGTTATAATCGAGGATAAATATCGGGAAATATAAAATGTGATTTTGATTTAAAATGCAGAAATACGGAGTACTGTAGTCTTCTAAAAAGGACAATTTCTAATAACTGAACTAATTCAAAAAGATAAGTTAAATCGTAGCTTGTAATGGTGCTGATTTTTAGCCGCGGCATTGTGGCTCATAGAATGGTTCTGAGTTTGTTTTTTTTATCTTTCAAGTACAAACTTTTAACTCATAGCGCCACCTCTTGGCCGATTTGAGATCTAATTAAAGCTGCGGTTATTGAGGATTCCCTCTTGTTTAATAAATGTTTACCTTATTCAATGGTTTTGTATATCTCCTGCCTTCTGGTGGCTCGGCGATAAATCTGCAGGCTTACGACGCTAAAATTCGGGTTTCGATATCCGTAGTGGGCATATCCCAGATAGCCCATCTTGTAGCTTTGTGCTTAATAACGACCAAACCAAAACAAATATTTTTTTTTTTACAATAGGCTTTTTATCAAGAAGTCGGACGCTATCAGCGAAGACTTGGCACAATTCCGCATTCGGAAGATACAGGGAGTATCTGTTCAAGAAAAAATCAGCCACATGGGAACCACCGAAATCGCCATCATTGCACTGAGCAGTGTCATTTTCCTAGGTGGCGTCTTGGGGATTGCTTTGCTCTGTTCTACCTGCAAGAAGCGGTAGGTGCCATTAACGCTCGTATTTTTGTAAGTCAAAGAAAACTGTATTAGATGAGTAAATGGCGGATTAAACCCAGCTCGTGGATTAGGTTTGACAAGACCTGGACAGAAGTTATGTAAGTTCATGGTTAATGAAAGGTTATCTTAGGACATGAAATGTTGCTTACCTTATATGTAATTGTAAACAAACGCAAAATGTGAAACCGCAGGTTTGCTCCACATGGACCCAACAAACCTTCATGACAAATTTGGTGAAGATCCATCAATAGGGGGTGAGGTAGTGGTAAAAAACGCCCATAAAAATCGCAAAACGCAAAACTGAAAGTGTGTACGTATCACCTTATGGATTCGACGAACCTCTTTTATACTATTATATTTATATAGACCCCAAAAATAACGTTCACCACACATAATTTAGCACTCTGAATGTTAATTTTTAACCATGAAGGTAAACGAAAAATGTTTTTTTTTTGCTACAAGTGATTTGTATTTCAGGTATTTCAGAAATATTATTTTATCCAGTTTGATCTTTGTTATGGATTTTATAAAATATTTCGAATTTCTGAAGAGTTGAGAGAGTAAGAAGTGAAGATGTCAATGTCCCCTAAATCCACAACTCCTAAACGGTTTCTGATCATCATTTATTCGTGTTTCTTGGTTAGAAATCAATGAATTCATGGAAGGAACTTCTACGGATGCTAGAGTATCACTCTAATCCGAAAAAAAAAAAAGGCTTAGCCGTTTTATCATTGTTTGTTAGAAAAAACGAAATAACCGTCTAATCCGGAAAAAAAAAAGGCTTGGTAACCGAGAGAGATTTTGGATCGTTTCAGGAAAACGAAACAACAACAGGAAAAATGGGAACAACAAAGAGTGTACAGTGTTCGGAACCCTTTAATAGATAGAACTGTGGGTCCGCCCTACGAGCGAAGAGTTGCTAACGGCATCGTAGTTCTCCATCCGCCTTCTTATAGCAATGCCACTTCCAACACGTAAGTTACATGTTTTTGTTGTTGATAAACTATTAGAAACAAAATACAATCGAAAGTAAACACCGTGAATTGACCTTAAGAAAGGTGCCTCTCTTGTTGAACGTTAAAAAAGTTACTCAAACCCCAAATTACCAGATTGTTTAACATCCGTGAGTTCTCCCATTGAGTAGTTTTATGTTTTAACACGCATTGTGAAACAGAAATGACCAAAATCACTCATTTACTGTGTAAACCCCCCAAACAACAATTAATGAGATTAATTCCAATATCTGTGATATTTTTGTTTAATTTTTGATTGGTTCATACGTTATTTAGAGTCTTGTAACTAATGAAGTTATGAAAACAAAAACATTTCTAAGCATAAGTAATGTAGACAAATGAGTTTTAAAAAACCAATGGACCTCTTTGGTAGATCTAGAATTAATGACACCGATGTTGAGGGTAGCTTTGAAAACACGAGATTTTGTTAGCTCGTGTGGATTATTGACCAATGACACAGCTTGAGTGTTTTAGTACGTATTACTTTTTTACTCTTGTAGCAGCTTGAGTGTTTTAGTACGTATTACTTTCTATTCTTGTAGCAGCTTGAGTGTTTTAATACGTATTACTTTATATTCTTCTAATATCTTGAGTGTTTAGTACGTATTACTTTTTACTCTTGTAGCAGCTTGAGTGTTTTAATACGTATTACTTTCTATTCTTATAACAGCTTGAGTGTTTTAGTACGTATTACTTTCTATTCTTATAACAGCTTGAGTGTTTTAATACGTATTACTTTCTACTCTTGTAGCAGCTTGAGTGTTTTAATACGTATTACTTTCTACTCTTGTAGCAGCTTGAGTGTTTTAATACGTATTACTTTCTACTCTTGTAGCAGCTTGAGTGTTTTAATACGTATTACTTTCTACTCTTGTAACAGCTTGAGTGTTTTAATACGTATTACTTTCTACTATTGTAGCAGCTTGAGTGTTTTAATACGTATTACTTTCTATTCTTATAACAGCTTGAGTGTTTTAATACGTATTACTTTCTACTCTTGTAGCAGCTTGAGTGTTTTAATACGTTTTACTTTCTACTCTTGTAGCAGCTTGAGTGTTTTAGTACGTATTACTTTCTACTCTTGTAGCAGCTTGAGTGTTTTAGTACGTATTACTTTCTACTCTTGTAGCAGCTTGAGTGTTTTAATACGTATTACTTTCTACTCTTGTAGCAGCTTGAGTGTTTTAGTACGTATTACTTTCAATTCTGTTAGCAGCTTGAGTGTTTTAATACGTATTACTTTCTACTCTTGTAGCAGCTTGAGTGTTTTAATACGTATTACTTTCAATTCTGTTAGCAGCTTGAGTGTTTTAATACGTATTACTTTCTACTCTTGTAGCAGCTTGAGTGTTTTAATACGTATTACTTTCTATTCTGTTAGCAGCTTGAGCAATCCTACTTTACTTTTGACTTCAAGAATAAGGTTATTTTAAATGTAAAAAGTTTTATTGTTTACCGAGTGTAATTTTCGTTTTATGTAGATCACAGATGCATACATATATATAATTATATATATATAATCCATACCAAACGGGTTATTTAATGCTCGTCAAATATTGTTTTCCTTATTCGTAGAAGACAGTAATCTTAAATAATCAAGATGGTGGTGTTTACTCTTCTTTTCTGAGAACTATTTTACTTCTCCATGTCTAAACTCTAGATATATTTACCATGTCTGCTACATTTACTTTTTTATTATCTTTGCGAACTGAAAAATTATATTTCTTGTTACTGTAGAATATGTAGTATGTAATAAAAACGGTCTCGCACATTCCAATATATGTTTTGAATTTACCACAGCACGACGCATGTATGATTGAACCAAAAGGACGCAAAATATAGAAAACAAAACCAAACTTTTCGCTCACAAAGAAAGATGAAAGGTCCTCGTGACCTCATCATGGACAATTCTTGTTGTACGAAACCCACAAAACTTGATCTTACGTTAGTAATTTTCATTTCCAGGGAATTTATTTACAGTCGTGTAGACCAAAATTCCATCCTGAAGGGCAATAAAAGTTCACGACAACATGTACCACCAGATGGCGCTTCATCTCCCACTCGATCTAAAAGCCCCAAATCTGATGGATTTATCAAGAAAAACTGCCAATGGGAAGACCAGAAAGATGAAATCGACTCTTTGTAAGTGTTCTTGCTAATTCTTTACTTTCTGGGTTAAGCCTCGTCAAAGATAGTTTACTAATTTAGAAATAGTAGCAGTGTTTCTTGGAAAAAATATTCTATTATTTTCTGCCCTCTATAGTTATATGTAAGGGAATAATAGGATATTGTACCTACGTGTTTTTTAAACAAAAAAATATTTACCTGAGGAGTGGAAAGTACGCCACGTGCAGAAGTGTAACTTAAAAATATTGAAAGAAATAATAAATAAACAAATAATAATTTCTTAGCCGAAAGCTAGGTGTCTCTTTTTTTTTTTTTTAGGTCGTCTCAAAACAAACTATATTATTCGCGGCTTATTACTGTTGTTGCCGTGATACTTATTACATTTTGTCGAATTTGCAAGATTAATATACATAAATAAATATCAACGACGTTAATATAAATATTTTCTACCTAAAAGAATCCCGAGTGCTTATCATGATAAAAATAAAGTATTTTGTGCAACACGAAATTATTATTGAGATTACATGTCTGAATTAGTATAGAACTCAGTTTGGAGCCAACTGGTCTAGGGTAATTATGCCATTTAAAATGAAAACTAGACGACTTTTTGTTTGTTTGTTTTAAGTGCATATTAACGAGAATGTTAAACAAAAACAGCATGAAAGATCCAAAAGCGATATAGGTATTGAGATACGGAATTTTAAACAACTTGGAAGTGCTGAATAATTGATTGCGTTTTTTGTTTGTTTGGAATTAAGCACGAAGCTATGCATTGTTTGTTATTAAGCACAAAGCTACACAATGCTCTGCCCACCACGGGTATCGAAACCCGGTTTCTAGCGTTATAAGTCCGCAGACATACCGCTGTGCCACTGAGGGGGCAAAGCTATGCAATGGGCTATCTGTGCTCTGCCCACCACGGGTATCGAAACCCGGTTTCTAGCGTTGTAAGTCCGCAGACATAATTGTGAATCCAAGTTAATGTAAATCCTTAAATTTCGTATGTCACTGAAACTAAAGTAAATGTATAGATCTGTGTTTTCTAGAATTCTATTGTTTGTGTGGCAGATCTCCCTTCCCCAGTGGCTCAGCGATAGATATGAAGGCTTAAAAACCGTGTTTCGATACCTATGGTTGGCACAGCACAGATATATCTAATTGTCTTGCTTTGTGCTTAAAAAGAAACAAACAAATAAATGAGGGGAGGGTCGAATGTTATTATATACAAAAGAAACAATCCTTTCTGACTTTAAGAAGTGTCTGTTTATCATTCTTATTATCAAACATCGGTGGTCTTGATGCTGTTTCAAGGTACCATTAAATCCACTTTCTAGGTTTCATCCAACTGGACAGATTACTTTAGCTCAAATTACCTAGAATTTAGAATTTTAAATAAATCCTGATACCTAAGGGGTGAGCATGAGCTGAGGGGTAGAGCTATTCAGGTGGAGCTCTCACGCCACCCAGGTGGACAGAATGTCACCTTGCACTTTCAGGGGCGCCGGAAACAAACTTAGGTTGGTGGGAGAGGGAATCATAATAAGATTTAACCAAAGTACAAAATAACCATTGTCTTTTTCCACATTTCTTCGCGTTGTATTGTAAACATTATGAGGGGGTGTATATTGCAATAACTTTTTTTATTATTCTAATCTTTTTAATGATTGTTACTGACAGAAGTGAAAACCTAATTCAAACAAATATTACACTTCTAAAATTTTTTATCTTGTGGTTCTGTCTATTACCACTTGCGTTACAAGAGGTAATAAACACGCCGAAGAAATAACAGACCTATAAACAGAAACAAAGGCATAATTATTGTATATTAGTACGTACCAAAAAATAGTTTCCTTGCCTTGACGCATTTTCATTGGTCGGCAATAATTTGCCTCTAGACGTTTGTAATTTTATACTGCGTCATAGTTTAAGTTCATAGCCGCGTATGTAATATTTCTCCTGTAATGAGCGCACACGACACACAAATTAGCAAAAAACAGTTACAGCATCATCGCTTGGCTTACACTAATCAAACGGTGGTAATTCTTGACCGTTAGGTAATGTTGATGGAGTATACGATCGGTAAGTAAAAACTAACAAAAATATTCAAAAGAAACTTTATAAAAACTTTACTGGACAAATAATTGGTGGGGGCAATTACCCCATCCCGGCAACCCTGGCTTTTAATACATTTTCATTAAATGTAACATATACTGTCATTTTTAATTATTTATACAAAAACTCTGTTATCTTAAATTATTTAATGCCATCTCGTTGGCCCAGCATGGCGCTCCACTCGCAATCTGAGGGTCGCAGGTTCGAAGCACCGTCACACCAAACATGCTCGCCCTTTCTGCTGTGGGAGTGTTATAATGTGACGGTCAATCCCACTATTCGTTGGTAAAAGAGTAGCCCAAGAGTTGGCAGTGGGTGGTGATGACTAGCTGCCTTCCTTCTAGTCTTAAACTGCTAAATTAGGGACGGCTAGCGCAGATAGCTCTCGTGTAGCTTTGCGCGAAATTAAAAAGCAAACAAGCCATCTCGTTTGTTTGTTTGGAATAGCTACACAATGGGCTATCTGTGCTCTGCCCGCCACGGGTATCGAAACCCGGTTTCTAGCGTTGTAAGTCCGCAGACATACCGCTGTGCCACTGGAGGGCTAATGCCACCTCATAAAGTCAAAATACGGAAAAATAGTGGTTACAGTTAGTTTTTTAAAAAAACATTGTAAAAAACATCTTATTATTGACTTTTAAATTAAATAGTAGTTGTATTTTGGACTCTGGGTTTCGGAGCTGTAGAGCTGTGATACTGTAAAATATTTTTTGCATCATAATGGTGACAAATAACCCCTACAACTCGACATTTACGCTAAGGGATTCGCTGTCACTCTTATGACGCACTCACAGCATGCAATGCAAGGAATATTCTATGGTATCAGCGGATTCGACTGGCCTCTGGTTCCTCTGGGCAGTGGTTTAAAATTAGGTGACATAGCGCAACATCATTGTATCTTCTTCTTGACCACAAAATCAGGAAATATAGAGCGGAATTTTCAAGCTGAAAACACCTTATATGTAAGCAGGCGAAATAGCCAGAATAAAGACCCTTAGAGTTCAGATATAACTGTACTTAATTTTCAAATATTGACCTCAGGAAATGTAGATGTAGAGTTGCACCAACTATTTATCCTCTTAGATCCGAATAACGGGATTAACGGTTCATTATATAAAGAGCTCGTAGCTAAAAGTGCAGATTGTGTTCAGCAGCATTACTTCTCGAACTTTGGACTGTTCGATCCGCAACCCGCAAAGTTAACCACTAGACCATGCCCTCTTCAATAGGTCAGAGTCTTGCTACGTCTCGAACTTTGGACTGTTTGATCCACAACCTGCCAAGTTAACCACTAGGCCATGCCCTCTTCAATAAGTCAGAGTCTTGCTACGTCTCGAACTTTTGACTGTTTGATCCCGCAAAGTTAACCACTAGACCATGCCCTCTTCAATAGGTCAGTCTTGCTACGTCTCAAACTTTGGACTGTTCGATCTGCAACCTGCCAAGTTAACCACTAGGCCATGCCCGGTTCAATAGGTCAGAGTTTTACAAGTGCTTTAAGTTTGGTTCGACAGTTTCCGTATTTCAGTTACAAACTTCTTTGCCTTACTTTAAATGAGCGATTTTCAAGGCTAAGGTTCGAAATATTCATTTGAAGCCGAAATGATTGCTTTGAAGTTTGATCTCTGTAGTTTATTCTTATCTGTTCTGTTTTTATTTCAGCGGAACGAGATTTTCTCGTGCCTCTAGGTTCGACAGCTGGTCCTCCAGGCACACCAAGCGGTCCAGACCCAACTCAAGCACAGAAATATAACTTTTCTCAATGCCACCGAAGAACAACCAAATTAAAAATATCCAATGTATATTACTGGCATTATACCTTATTAGCTTATGTGTCTGGGTGTTCTTTTGTTAGAAGTACTTGACAATCTCATATATGATGAAGTACTTAAATTTTTTTTATCATACGCTGGAAGTTCAATCTTTACATCACGTACAGAAACTTATCACAAGTTGTTATACATTTTTCAATGTAATAATCTTACAAGTTAGCTTTTTTTTTACTAAAAAAAAATCTTTGATTTAATGCTTATTTAAGGGAACGCCAGTTATTTGTCTGTTTACGATTTGTTTAAATCACTTTGTATGGTTGAACACTAGATGGCGCTTTTGAAAGGGTCAGTATGTATACTTTGTACTAATAAATGAGAGAAAAAAATTCAATCGACAGTGAATGCTCGTAATAGTCGGTAACGGGTAGTTTTTGTTTTTTAAATAAAACTAACAAGTGTCACTTTAGAAGCCGAAAATGTGCAAATAATTACGATAAAGATATATTTCACACTGTGTAGGTACGACAGACTTTAAGGTTGTTAAGCTTTCATTTTGCATCATGTTTTTGTAAATATATATATATCAATTTAAGGCAGTTGTTTGGCACTAACTTATTTCTATAACAGACTTTACGTTATAAAGCTTAAGTAAGGCTACGTTGGCGTTACGAAAATATATATTTATTTCAGTAAAGTTCAGTGTTATTCATCTGTATTCATGAAAACAAGGGTCTATTTCAGTTAGTGCTTGAGATGATACAAAAAAAAATAACACGAGGTAAATGCGATTTAACCCGTGTTTAACACACGGCAAATGTAAAAATATGTGATTAATATTCAAATACTGTCAAATGATCCTCATTCAGACTTGTAAACACATTTCGTTTCTCACCGATTAGATAGTTTGTAACTGTTACTAGCTAATAGATGTTAAACAGGTAACTGATATCTTATTATATATGTGTGTGTGTGTGTACATATGTGAGGAAATCTTAATAAATATTCCAGAGTTTTATATATATATATGTATATCTTGACTTGCCAGGATATTTCATTTCATTAACAAATGGTTGTAATATGTCAGTAACTAATTAATATAACAAAAAAAAATATTTGAACAAGGCCCTCGTAGCCATCTGTTTCGCTGGTGACTAGTTTTGTCTTCTTTTTTTTTTGTCTGTGTTTGTTTGTTTGAGAACAAAGTCACGTATGGCTACCTGCTGTGTCCACCGCGGGGAATCGAACCTCGGATTTTAGCGTTGTAAGTCCGTAAACTTATCGCTATTCCATCAGTGTTTTTTTTTTTCGATAGATATTGCTTAGCCAGCATAGAATGGGAGGAGGCGGGAAGGAAACCCATCTTATATTTAAATTAATATGACAGATTGCGTATTTCATTCATAAATTTTAAATCTGTTAGAAAAGTGTCAGATAACACAAATGAATATTATCGGAAACATTGGTATGAGGAGAAATAGGCGGTTAAGGCTTTTTCTTGTAAGGTATTCATGCACGTGATAGGATACTTGCAAATTCGAACTTAAATTCTCAACTTAGAAAATCAAAAAACATCATCATATTTGTCTTCCAATCAGTTGGAAGTTCTAATTTAAGTTGAATTTGCATATCTAAGCATTCTAAGCTTTCAAAAAAAAAAAAAAAAAACATATCCGCTGAATTTACAATGTTACTGGGATAGGATTTGTTTTTTTTTCAATTTTTCGGCATCCTTATGTTTTGTGGTACAAAGAACAAGGAGTAGCTAAGCCTTTTTGTATTTGTTTCTTATATTCAAACAGTTCTGCTATACGATGAAGAATTTGTTTAGAATATAGTGTCTAGCAATCAATATCGCCAGCTGGTTCTTAGTCCTCTGTAAACATTGTGATGAAACGTTTTACATTTTCTTGGCTTCACGTCTACATCTTTTTTTTTCAGTCTTTAAAATTGACGTATTCAATTTTGGGTTGTTTTAGTTTAATGAAAAAGGACGTAAAGCAACATCTTATAGTGAAAAAGGACGTAAAGCAACATTATATAGTGAAAATATGTGAAAAAGGACGTAAAGCAACATTATATGTGAAAAAGGACGTAAAGCAACATTATATGTGAAAAAGGACGTAAAGCAACATTATATGTGAAAAAGGACGTAAAGCAACATCTTATGAAAAAGGACGTAAAGCAACATTATATAGTGAAAAAAGGACGTAAAGCAACATTATATGGTTTTATTGTTAACACAGGCCTGCGATGGTTTTATTGTCTTGATATTTTTACATGTTATACAGTAATTCCTTTACGCTAAATCCGAAAATGATATCCATTTTTCTCCAGCGCGTACAAAGTTTTCACCAAACGTCATAACGCAATACATAAAAGACCACAACACGTAGTTTTGAGACTAACAGACGTAGATTTCACAAATAAAAATCAGGATTAATGAGGATGCATATTCGTTTGACATCAATGTTCTTCCCTTTTATTCAGTTTATATGTATTTTTTGTTAACAAACATAATAATAAAAAATTTTCATTGTGGTAAACGAAATAATAATTTGATCTAAGTAAGAGTTTTTCTTCCCG